TACTCTCTGTGTTATGTAAAACAAAACAATGTTTGTTCTGTTGGCTTAGCATGGATCATTGTCTTTAAGCTGTGTTTTGGGGAAGCTTGTAAGGGTTTGTGTAGAACCCTAATAATGTGGGCAGATATGTCCCACAACACCTGTATTCCCCAACAGTGTACTGGAGTTGGAACATTTTGAGTGAATGCTAACATGCTTTCACATGGGGAAACAGAAAGGCTCAGCAAGAATGGCAAATGCTTTGTGTATTGTGCAGCATGTGTCTTCTGCAAAGCATATGGATTTTGTGCAGATGCTCAAGGGCTTTTCAGGAAACAAATAAATGCAGGAATTGTTTCCTGAAAGGGAATATTTGAAAGCCAAAAGGTAGATGATGCACTTTACCACAGTTCTGCAGATACTGTAAAGGCTTGTTTCTGGAGTTAAACTGTGTAAAAGAATCAAGGTCCACAAACACTATTTTCTATACTACTATTAGGAAGAACCTCTGTATTTCTGGTACTAGATATGACTAACCTGATAGCACACTAATTTCAGAGGCATTTGAAAAACATAGACACTTATTACTGTTTTCTGAGCATCTCAAGTATGCTGTGAGGGAAGATCTGGGTTTTTCTCTTGAGCTTAGAGGTGTGTGCAACCTCTTTCCCCCCTTGTTTGATTTTGGAAACATCCAGAAAGCAGCAAATCTTCCATGCCTAAAAAGAATATAGGAACATGCATATATCTTATATTGAGTCACAATGCTGGTCCATCTAGGTTAATATTTGTGTTTACAGTAAAACATAGCTTGGTGCAATGTATGTAAAGCATAATGACATCTAGATTTACATGTTCTCCTTTCACCTCTGGTGTGACCAAGTAGGGGATTGCAGAAGTTTCAATATCTGTTATGTTTTTCACAACTGAAAATGTGGTGGTTTTTAACATGCCAACTTCAGAAACCTGATTTGAAATGGGCTTGTTTCGGGCTTACCATAGTTAGTGTTATCCACTGTTTGTGCTAGATGAAACAAACTCTGGTTAGCTCAACCTAGTTTGAAAGTGTTCAAAGTCTTCCTGTTTACATGAGAGGGAGGGGAAGGACACAAGCCTAAGGCTAGTTCCTGCTCTTGTATGTCATGCTGAGTGGTGTTTTAGCATAATGTGTGAGTATGGCCATTGTTTTCACAAAGTGGCAGTGCCTCTTCATAGGTTCTAATTTATCTTCCCTGACCTCACCTAGCAATATCAGTGACTGAATATGAGACCTTTATGCAAAGCATACTGAGTTGCCATCTTTCCCCTCTATCAGAGGTGGGCTATGTAAAATTGGTGGGCCACATGTGGTGGTGTGATGTCTGTTTTGTAGTCTCTGCTGTGTTGTCCTGGCATCTCCTATGTCCCCTGCAAAAAATCCTTTTAATTCTTCTGCTACTGCCGAACCTCTTAATGATTCTTCATTTTTGGACAGATAATACCACTTCATGTCTTCCAAATTCTACTCTTTATGGTAGCAGGACACTCTAGCATCCTTCTGCACTACAGAGAATAGTCATGACCTTCACTAAGTTTTGATGATAACAAAATTGGTGGTTTCTGCTGAAATTTTGTGGCATTGCAGGCTCTAATTGTTTTGGGGCTGCAGGCAGTTCAGCACCCCAAAACTGAAAAGTCATGTGGTTCTGTGTTATCTCCAGCATTACTTTGTTCTTTGTAAATACTTGGAGAGCAGTGATGCGGCCATGAATCCATTTGGGGCTAGGGGCTGGTCTTAATGGCTAAATTGAAACTTGTCATCATTAGGACTCTTCCCATTCAAATTGGGGAAATGGAAATAGAGCCATGGGCTTGTTTGCTTGTACTTGTATTGCCTAGATCCTTAAGCTGTTAGAGCCCAGCAGTACGGGAGCTAAAGAAGCTTCTGCTCCCCTTTTTAGTCCATATCCAATAGATATGGGGTGAAATATGGTAGCAAGAGCTTGTTACTTAATTCTCTGTGCTAGTGATGTGCTCACCTAAGCAACACAGCAGCCAAACATCTATGTTTCCCCGAAAATGAGACACGGTCTTATATTATTTTTTTCTCTAAAAAATGCATTAGGGCTTATTTTCAGGAAATGTTTATTTTTTCATATACAACAATCTACATTTATTCAAATACAGTAATGTCATCTTCTTCTGGTTACTGCACAGTGGTGTAGGGCGGGGTTTCACTTAACTGGGGCTTATTTTGGGGGAAAGAGGGTACTAGCTTTCTACCCAAATGGAGTGAGGATTACTATGCAGTTCCAAAGATAATCGCTGACTCCCACAGCTTCAATCTTAAGAGGAATGTTGAGGATTATCACACTTAACAGAGAGCAGTGATTTGCTTACTTCTATAAGCATAAGAAGTGAAACTGTAAGACATGCTAATTCTTAGTTCGTTTTGAGGCACAGCAAGGCAGAGATGAATCCATATCATTTCCTCCATCCCAGAGCTTTGTTAAGAGGTCTAGGAAAGGGGCTTACTCCTTTTTATCATTCTGGCACTTCAACTCAACATAGAATGAAACCCCTATCACTCCTGCTAGGGGGTGTGGGAAGATAATTCTGGATTCTGGTAAGACTATAGCTTGCTTGCTGATGAAGGCTAATCAAAATGTGTGGACTCCTTAATAAAGAAATAAGTTTTGGTTAATGGTTGTATATTAAACATAACAATACATGGGGTTATTTAAAAGAAGAGTTGAATTGCAGAGGGGGAGATGCTCATTATGTAGCTTAACATCAGTCTTTCATTTTGGAAATTAGCAAGTATAATTTTAGTTTAATATGTAGAGGAGTCTCTCTCAAGCTCTATTATCTTTTGTATTGTATTGCAACTCCCACCATCCCTTAAAATTGTTATGCTGGTCAGTGCTGATGGCTGAGCTTGCCAATAAATTTGAAGGGTGCTCCATTGGGAAATACTGATACTGATTGATATGCTTGCCAACTTGCCTTTTATCCATGAAATAAGAATGCAGTCCTAACAATTCTTATTGGTTGGCTAAATTCTCATCACATCATGTGGTAATGCCTTCTTTTACTATAATCACTGCTAATAACACTTAGGTGTAATTATATACCCCTATACTGTCCAATGCCATATTATCACTGGACACTCTTTTATGTTCACCATTTGATTATATCTTAACATTGCTTATGCTTAGATCAGTGGTTCTTAACCTGGTGTTCTTGGACTGCAACTCCCAGAAAGCCCGATCAGCACAGTTTATAGTGAAAGTCTGTGGGAATTGCAGTCCAAGAACATCAGGAAAATTTCTGGAGGGATAGCTATTTTACACTTAGGTAGCAAAAGCAACAAAAGCTCTAGCAGCATCTTAAATACTGACACATTTCATTTGGAATTAGCTTTAGTGGAATGCAACACATTTCATCAGATGCAGCCTACCTGGTTAGTTCTGCTTCCTTGTCCTTTATTTTTGTTTTGTGGTCTTTACGAACAAGAGAGCAAGTCTAATTTAACATTTTTTATCTTCCACAAATGAAGGATATTTTTCTTGGCAATAATTTTGTTTTAACTATCATTGGACTGCAGTAGTTTATTTGGTTAACAGTCCAGATATAGCCATTAAAAATTCAATTTGTTATTTTACCTATTAGTTGATATAACTGAGGGTCTTAACACCAAGTGTCTAGTTTCCTTCTGATAGAATCGAGCATTTTTTTTAAAATTGCAAATACAGTGGGGGCTTGACTTGAGAACTTAATCCGTATTGGAAGGTGGTTCTCAAGTCAAAAAGTCTGTAAGTCAAGTCTCCATTGACCTACAGTGCATTGAAAACTGATTAATCCCGTAACAGGCCGTTTTTGTTCCATTTTGGTTTTTTTCTGGTCTGTAAGTCAATTCTCAGGCTGCAAGTCAAACCTAAATTTTGCGGCCAGAGAAGTCTGTAACTCAAAAAGTCTGTAAGTCAAGCCGTCTGTAAGTCAAGGGTCCACTGTAGGCAATCTTTGTCAAAATGGCTACATAGGATGAGAATCAAGATCTTTTTTTCAGTTTATCTCTTTCTGTATTCACGAAGGCTTTCACGACCGGGATCTAATGGTTGTTATGGGTTTTTCGGGCTCTTTGGCCGTGTTCTGAAGGTTGTTCTTCCTAATGTTTTGCCAGTCCTTTGTCAAAATGGCTACATAAGATGAGAATCAAGATCTTTTTTTCAGTTTATCTCTTTCTGTATTCACGAAGGCTTTCACGACCGGGATCTAATGGTTGTTATGGGTTTTTCGGGCTCTTTGGCCGTGTTCTGAAGGTTGTTCTTCCTAATGTTTTGCCAGTCTCTGTGGCCGGCATTTTCAGGGGACAGCACTCTCTTTCTGTTTCTCTCTTCAGTTCAGTTAGAGAGAAGTTTTTCATATTCAGTAAACCATCTTAATGGGAACTAAAGTTCAGTCACAATAGCAGATCTAAAAAATGGATTATGATTGTCTATGTATGCTTATTGCATATAGAATTATGTTATTCTCCATGGTTTGAATGAAAGATCCCTGTTATTTACATTGAATGCATTGAAACAGGATGGGCTTACGTGATGGAGTTTCCAGAAGTGATATATTTTATTTACAACAGAATCCTGTTGGGAATCATGGAACGTAGTGCCCCTCTCTCTAGCAATGATGCATATGTAATAATGTATATATACTTTGTATGTATTTATAAAAGTACATACAGTGTACATTGCAGATCAGCATAACTAGTAAGTATATATATCTATATATAGTTTATCTATATATTGAACTCATAGTAATAGCCAATGAAAACAGTTATTTCCAGATAAATAAATTTATTTTATTCATTGGGATCATAGTGGCATGGTAGGTCATAACTAAAGTAAGCCCACTGAATCAGTGGAGCTGACTCACCAAATCCCCACTCATTCAATAAGTGTACTATTGTTGTAGCTACTGATTAAAAACGGCTTGATTTTAAATTTTTCAGAGGTTTTATTCTTTTATGATATTTTCTTCCACAGCTACTGATCTCCTTCTGGCTTGGAATCCAGTTTGCCTGGGTTTGATTGAGGGACTTATTGGAAAAGTTCAGCTTCATACAGGTATGAACAGTAAAAATTATTTGTCTTGCTATAATGGTAATTAAGATAATGTTAGAATGGCTGTGTCTGTCGGACTAGCAACTTCTAGTCTGACAGGCACAATATAAAATTGAACTGTTGTTTTTGTCATCACCTGTATCAGACTGATTGATGTGCCACTTTTATTTGTCAAACTAATAACTGTCACTGTCTGAATTGGAACACATGATAGATAATCCTATTTACATTTGTAGTAGTTCATGCATATCTGATGAACTTTTTTTCCAGTGCCTCAACAAAAATAGCTAGGGAAGGTGAGAGGGGAAGTAGTGTCTATAAAAATAATTTCATGAAGATAGAGAATCAAATAAAGTAGATGTGTTTTAGCTCAGCTGTTTTTTTAATTCTCCAGTATCAAGAAGGCATTTCTTGTAGATGTAAAATTAATTTTGGTTAGTTAATAAAGGTGTAGCATTAGATAAGTCTGTCTTCTTCCCCCTCTAGTTGAGTCATGTTTTGAACTTTACCTTGGACAGAATTGTTATGTTTATCCACAGTTCTTTTGAATTTAAATAGTAATTGATAGAGATGATGTGTTGCTATTTATTTCTGAACCCCAGTTGCATCTTTTGGCATTAATGAAGGAAATTAATACTCTCACAGATTTGTCTGGTTATCCTATTAACTGATTAAAACAAGATCTGTGGCTGGTGAAGGACAACTTGTCAGAGAACATATTTACTGACTGACAATTTTAGTGGTGCCCAGATGTTTTTGTATACAGTACTTTGAATACCAGTTCCTAGAAATTCCTAGTGAAGTCATGGCCTTGAGTTTGTAAGAAGTGAGCAATGCTGTTAATGGTAGGGCATTTTGGAGCTCACTCATTTATGAAGGTGACTTGATAGTGTGTAACAACAACAGTAGGGCTCTTTAACATATGATAATACTAAACAATAAGTTGATTGTTGATTTTTTGATTTTAATAGATACGTGCTTTTGAATTTGATCTCATAGGGTGGGCTCGAAACACTTAAGATGAATATTATAGTTTTGATAATTTTGTGTTCTTTTTGGAATTTCTCTGTATATATCTACTCTACATTTTATTAAAATTAATACATTGTTTTTTTTAAGTTTATGTGAGGTTCCTTACCATTTAAAAATATGCAGTGTTCATTCAATGAAGGTCAGTTTATCTTCCTTAATCTTAGTTTATACCAGGTCTTTATATCAGGCCGTATGCTGATGTTTGATAAATGGTTGAACTATTTCCATCCTGTTGGACTGTCTGTCTTGGGCTGTTTTGGAATCTTCCTGTCTGAAGTCTCTTTCAGTGTAAGAAAATATCAGGGTATACTTTAGAAACACCTTTCCCCCCATTTTTGCAGTTAGGGATATATGTATGTGTATGTGTAATGTCACAATTCCAGTTTGATCTATTTGATCCATTAAATTAACCTTTTGGGATTCTCCAGATCCCAAACTTGGGAACAAGACCTTTTAATGGAAGGTATGGATTATGTGGGTTTTTAATTTTCCCCCATCGATTGATTTATAATGCATTTAATAATAAGCTGAACACTGAATATAGAATCATAGAAAAGTAAAGTTGGAAGGGGGGTCTACAAGGCTATCAAGTCCAGCCCCCTGCTCAATGCAGGAATACAATCAAAGCATATCTGCCAGGTGATTATCTGAGTTTTTCTTGAATGCCTCCTGTGTTGGAGCACTCACCAATTCCCATGGTAACTGGTTCCACTGTCGTACTGCTCTGTTATACAGTGGTGCCTTGCTTAACGAGCGCACCGTATGACGAAATCGCATAGCGATTAGGGTTTTGCGATCGCAAATGCGATCGCATACCAATGGCCCCTATGGGCGAAACTCGCATAGCGAAGATCGGAAAGCGTTTCGCTTACCGATCTTCGCTTTGTGACGGCCGACGATCAGCTGTTTGGCGGCTCCAAAATGGCCGCCGGAAGCCCCGAAATGGCCGCGCGCAGCGTTTTCGCGCCCTCCCCTCGCTTACCGAGGGCGCGAAAATGGCTGCCGGCTATGGGAAAACTTCGCTGAACGGTGAGTTTTGGAGCCTATTGGAACGCATTAAACTAAGTTTAATGCGTTCCAATGGCTTTCCCTGTTCCGTACAGCGATGTTTTCACATAGCGAGGGTTAATCCGGAACGGATTAGCCTCGCTATGTGAGGCACCACTGTATACTGCTCTGTTACGTACTGCCCCCCCCCAACTTGCACTTCCAATTTGTTTGGCAGTTCATATTCTGTCTTATGGGTAAAGATGGAACTAAAATAGGAATTGGACACCTCTGCCTTTTCTTTGTCCTCTGTTATCATTTGTCCATCTTCATTGCGGAACTGTGCCACAATGTCTTTTGTTTGTCTTTTGCTACTCACGTACCTAAATAATGCTTTTTTATTTCTTTTAGTGTCTCTAGCTAACCTCAGCTCATTCTCAGTTTTTGCCCTCCTGATGCCATCCCTGCATTTCCTTGATACTTGTCTGTACTCATCCTTGGTGGCCTTCTTTCCATATCCTGTACTTGTCTTTTTTGGTTTTTAGGTCCTCTCTGAGCTTTTTGTGAAGCCACACTGGCCTTTTTTGCCATCTCTCCCCCTTTTTTCTTGTTGGAAATTTTTGTAGTTGTGCCTTTAGATTTCTTTTTTTTAGAATCTCCCACCTTTCTTGGTCTCCTTTTCTTGTTAGGATCTCCTGCCATGGGACCTTATTTATTCTTGTTCTGTGATTATTAAAATTTGCTTTTTAAAAATCCAGCAGACATGTGTGGCTACACTCTGCTTTCATTTTCTTTGAATTCAAGAATTCTAGAAGACATGGTCACTCTCACCTAGAGTTCCGCTTACTGCCACTTCGCCCACCAAGTCATCTTTGTTGGTCAGAATCGAGTCAAGGATAGCAGATCCTCTAGTTTCTTTCTCTGCTTTTTGTAGGAGAAAATTATCAGCGACACAAACCAGGGATTTCTTGAAAGTGCCATACTTGGCAGAATTGCCTCCCAACATATTGTTTGCTTTACTCTGCTGAATAGTACTATACACCGCTTCATAATTTATTGGTTGTCGATGTAAGTACAGTCCTTCAGCTCTGAGCTACTCAGTGGCTGAAATCTTGTTGCTTAGTAGACCTCTTGAATCAATGAGGGATTTGGTGAGTTAATTCTTCCATAAATTCTTCTGAGTCAGTTATGATTTATTATGCTAAAGTAAGGTCCTGTCCGCACTAGCAGATAGATACAGTATAAGGATTGCTGATGGCATGATTTGAATTGGTGGGGGGGATTTTCTCTGCAAGTGTTTGTACTTAGAACAATCCATCCTTCCCCTTTAAGACCTCTCACACATCTTTCTGGCTTAGTGATAGGGCATGCATTCTTTTTGGCATGCATGTTTAGTTGATTTACCCAGGAGAAAGCAGTCTCCAGCATCCTCAGTTTCCACCTGTGCCTCCTGTCCTCCAGGTCTTGCCTGCTGAAGCACAGAGAACTGTGGTGGACAAAGCTGAGTGAGATTAACCTGCTGTCAATCATTTTTCCACCAGGTCTCTGTAATACAAACCAAGTTGGATTGTCCTGGGTGACTGTTATAGGAAAACTTAAATGCCCAACCCCCGTTAGCCAATGGGCTGAGGATCTTAAGAATCTTCTAGCAATTTGAGTGCTTGCCATATAGGTGGCAACTGGTTTTGGATACTTACCAGGATATTTGAATGTCTTTCATTGAGTTTTATGAGTAAGTCAGATTTTGGTTGTTTCTGTTTGTCTGTTGTTGTTTTTTGTCCTTTCTTTATCCCAGTCTTCTATTTATCTGTTGCATTCTTTATATAATTTAAGCAAAATAAAAATTATTTTTTTTAAAAAATGTTCAGTATATATGACAGAAAACTGAGCTTACAGAAGGGTGCATTTTCTGGAGCTTTAGTTGCTGATGTTCTTGAAGGCCTGCCTTTTTATCTATTTTCTTCAAACACTGCTTCATGATGATGTAGGAAAAGCTAGCCCAGCTTCTATTAATGGAATAGTATAGGAAATCCTGCCAAGAAAAAAGGTTATACACATAAAATACTTCAAAAGTGAGGTCAGCATGCTTTAGATAACTCTTGGCTTGTACTCTGGTTTTGTTTAGCTGACTTCTGAATAAGAATAGCTGTTAACAAGCAGCATTTATTTGTGACCTGGTCTTTCATAATTTTTAGAAATCAGTTAAAAACCATTAGTTGTCAAAGAGCTATTATATTACAAAGGATAAACGTCCACATTAAGCTTGAAAATTCTTCCTCTGATACTGACTAAAAAAAAAGACAAATGAGAGATCCCTGTGTGTTTGACATATTCTGGAATAAGAGATTTTATTATGAGCATGCTCATGCTACCTGGATGCACTAAGTGGTCCCCAAACTTGTAGGTGCCACTTGACCTAGTTACTACTATCTAGTTATATTTGATATTTGGGTAAAAGGGTGATAAAAGGGTGTTTTACCTATATGCATATGAATTGCTGTACAGTATGACATAAAGGTAAAGGTAAATGTTCCCCTGGACAGTTTTTGTCCAGTCGTGTTCGACTCTAGGGGGCGGTGCTCATCCCTGTTTCCAAGCCATAAAGCCAGCATTTGTCCGAAGACAATCTTCCGTGGTCACAGGGCCAGTGCGACTTAGACACAGAACGCTGTTACCTTCCCACCGAGGTGGTCCCTATTAATCTACTTGCATATCCATGCTTTCGACCTGATAGGTTGGCGGGAGTTGTATGGGATAGCTGCCTTTAAAAATCTGATACACAAGGAACCAACCGCTCAGGAAAATGCTTTCCATGTGGCAGTATATTTAAACCAAGCTGTAGGTTTCCATAGTATGACATTCTATACATATACCTTCATAGGCATCTTTGCATAACCCCCCCAACAATTACATTACTAATATATCCCTGAATATTGGCCGTTTATTCTGCTAGTGAGGGATATCATCAATATCGAAAGAGGAAA